CATGAGGCCCCTCCTCAGCCTGCTCTGCTCTGGGCCTGGGATCTCAGCTGCTCCTCTTACATTTCCCTCTCCAGTCTCATCACTGTTTTTGTAGCCACAACTTGGATGTTTGCTGCTGTGAGGCACCCACATAGTCACCCACACATTCACCCCAAAGGGCTGGAACAGCTGGGTCTCATCCTAAACCCCCTGCTCTTTTCTGGACACTGTAATGTTGCCATTGACACCTGCAACACCAAGATTTCATCTTGCTACATTTGGTTTGGCTTGTGGTGCATCTGTGTCATTTGTCTATGGAGGTGAAGCAATCAAAAATAGACTTCGTAGAATCATAAAACTGTTTGATTTGGAAGGGACACTTAAAGGTCAACCCCCCTGTTATGAGCAGGTACACCTACAGCTCCATCAGGTGCTCAGATCCCATTCAGTCTGACCTTGAGTGCCTCCAGGGATGGAGCATCCACCACCTCTCTGGGCAACCTGTGCTTCACTGCCACTATTGTAAAAAACTGATTCCTCATATCCAATCTAAATCTCTCCTTTTAGTTTGAAAGCATTTCCCCTTGTCCTGCTACAACATATCTTGGTAAAGATTCTGTCTCCTTCTTTCTGGTAGACCCTTTAGATACTGGCAATCCACTGTCAGGTCTTCCCAGATCCTTCTCTTCTCCAGGCTGAACAACCCCAGCTCTCTCATCCTATCAGTGCAGGGGAGGTGCTCCATCCCTTGGATCATTTTTGTGGCCCTCCCCTGGATATGCTCCAGCAGATCCATGTCTCTCCTAATCCTATTTATTCACTAAGTAATTAGAAGACTTACCAAACCACCCCAAAAAGTCTGCCCTGTATTCACAACGTACACAATTAATTAATCAGGCTGAGTCGTGGTGCAGAGATAATTTTTCACTACTGTGTGCTTCATCATTCCAGCACGTATTTCTCATGTGTATTCACACACATCCCACCACCCTTTCCCTCAAAACAACCTAAGAGAATCATTCTTTTCTCCTTTCTAGCTTTTATTGCACAGCCAGATGCACACAGTGCCATCCCATCTCTTTTTGATGTCCTCAGTTATTGTGTTTGCTACTGTTTGAAAATCACACAACACTTTTTATTTGTAAATGTCTGATAAAGGTTTTCAGTTTAAAAGGGCTGACAGTACAAGCATTGTCCATACAAAGCTTAAAAATGCCACACACAAACCGACATGTAAGGCCATGTTTGATCTGTAATGCAAATAAATTAAACAAAGATGGAGAGCTTTAAGCCTGATGTTCTTTTGATCTTTGAAGCCTGATGGCTTTTAAAGTACAACTATTTTCTGTATCACAGCCCAGCACTTACATCCATATGCCCATATATATACATATCTTTATGTATAAAACAAACAAAAAAAAACTTCTGTGTTCCAAATAGGGTCAGTAGTTAATAGGAAGACTATGATTTTCTTTAAATGCCCTGTATGCACGAGCAGAGATGAATCCAAATCTTGTCTCATTGGTGAAAACAAAATATTCAGGCATGAGCAGGACCTGGCAGAATTTATTTAGGCTAAAGAAGATTTTGCAATGCGTGCAAGGCACAGTTGAGCCCTAAAAAGAAATTGCATGTGGTAGGCATGGGACAGAGTGACTCTGAAGAGTGCTTATAGGTGTCCTGTGGAGGAAAAATAACTCCTCAAAACACCAAATCCACTCAGGCCCAGCAAGTCAGTGCAAGACCCAGACAAGATATAAAATATATGTGCGAATCGAAGTGTTTGCACCATCTCCCACCAGAGCTGGAACTTCAACAGGCAGGAGGAAGCTCCTTCCACTTGAGCCACCTGGTGCTATCATAGCATCATCTTGGAAGCATCATGGAAGGGTCTCACCCTGGATCATAGCAGGTAGAAGGCTGCAGTTGAGAGCAAAGTGCTCAGCAGGAAGACTATACCCTATGGGAAATGCAGGATCTGAGGGTCAGTGACATAGCTGCTATTAGAAGTGTTGTAAGGCCATCACTTAGGATTTGCATAGGGCTGAACCAAATGAAACTGGCTGTGCACCTCCTCTAAAGCTGGTATCAGCATGAGCTAGGTGCTGTCTTGCTGCAGCACCAACACAGATAGCTGGGAAGGTTGGCAAGCTTACAGGTACAGCTACTGTGCCCTGAGAGCTGTTGAGATGTTCTCAGTGCCTACCACAGTGCAAAAAGTAGGTTCACATAGGCATGAGTTGTAAGACATAGTTCTTGGTAGCAGCCACATGCTGTCTTCTTAAAAAATTGGTGATGCATGTAGTGTATAAAGGCATTTTGGCTTATTCCAGAAAGTGACTCTGAAGTGATTCAATAAACTGCAGCCATTGAGAGACTGCCATATCCAGAGTCCTCCTCAGTGCTTGTATTTAAGCCTTCCTGAAGCTGAGAGAATGTATGCAGAGATATCCAGGAAACGAATTTAGCTTTTATGAGTTTCATAAAATGGTGCTAACAAAGTTTTAATGAACTATCCCACTTTAAAAAAATGTAAAATATTGGTAATAATAATAAAATAGCAGTAGCTTGCCTTGTTATAACCTCTACAGAAAAACCATTGTGTTAAGAGAGTTATTGACCTGGGTGGCCAGGGCAAAAAGGGGACATTCTGGGGAGGCATGTGTTGATGAGGGAAAGTGGGAGTGTTTGTGCTTTACTGAATGAGGACCCCATCTCACAGTGATCCAGCTGAGCAAACAGGGAGCTTTTCGGTTTGCATCTGAGGATGCAACAAGTCAGCAGAAAAGTAACTGCAAATCGATGCAGAGCAAAAAGTTTTGGAAACACTCAGAGGAAAACAAAAGCCTGAAGCACTCTTTTGTTTCAGCTTAAATGAAGTGTTTCACTCTAAGTCAGGGAAGCTGAGGCTGAAGATCTCTTTTGCAGAGCAGGCTTTAGAAAGAAGTAGCTTGAAACCCAAAAATTGGCACATCTCTTTTTTTTCTTCCCTGCAACAAGCTTTGAGTGGCACTCAAGCAAGCAGCAAACAATTGCTCCATCACTGAAGCATCATGGAAAGGTCTCACCTCATCATGTGTTTTCTCCTCCTGAGCACCCTGAGGCTGAAGCTCATTTTACAGACTCACAATTTTTTATGTTTTGATTTATGAAACATTCTTTTTAAAAGAAAAACACCTGCAGGTTTGTGGTTTGCAACCTTTTATCCCACTTCCCTTCACCCTCCCCCCAAAAAATACACACACACACACAAAAATAAAAAGCATTAATGAAATAGATTTCCCTGTGAGCAGAGCTCTGTGCTCCTGGAGGTGACAAGTGGTCCATGGGAAATGAGCCAATTACTGCAGATCCTCACAATCATTGACTCATGGAACCCTTAAGGTTAGAAAAGATCTCTAAGAACATCAAATCCAACCACCAACCCATCCCCACCGTGCCCACCAACCCCTGTCCCTCAGTGCCACGTTCCCATCTTTCTTGAACAGCACCAGGGATGCTGACTCCACCGCCTCCCTGGACAGACCGTTCCAATGCATCACAACTCTTTTTGTGTGAGGAATTTTTTTTCTAATATCCAACCTGAAAAATCAGAATATAAGTGGTGGAAAAGGTAATTTTCTAATGTAAATGGTGGCGCTAGATCACCTATCACCTGAGATGATACGAGGAGATTATGTGTGAGAAGAGATACAGAGAAGTGCAGCTGGTTACTGTTTTTACATTGAGCACATTCTGAGCGTGGTATCTATAGAACCTGCAAAAAAAAAATCTTTATTTTCTTTGATCAAAAATATGCATAGAAATGCCAGTTTTGAGGAAAATATCATACTTTTTTTTTCTTGTTTAACAAAATAAATTAAATATACATGACTTCTGTTTAAACTCTATATAGAATTACAAAGGTTTTGTATTTGCATTTGGATTAATTTCCAATCCATACAGGTATTTAATATGGCCCTTAATTAATCTCTTTTATTTCACCGTTGTTCAAACCAAAATGAAACTGTATCATTTCCAAAATGCTATCTGTGGGGAGGGGACAACCACACACAACCTAGATGAATATTTCTCAAATGCAGTTTTTCCTACAATATTATTATTTCATTCTCTTTTCCTGTTTCTCCTTACGTTCTCACGTATCTTGCATTGATGTAGAGAATCCAGTAGCTTGTCATCGTAAGCCATCAGAGAAGGGCAGCGTGTTTTGCTTTCTTCACCATCAGCAGTTCAATTATTATTATTATTAATTATTATTATTTCTTAAATATAAATATAAAGGTGTTCTGTACAACGTTCCTCTTTCCTTCCTTCCTTTTTCACGGCAGTGGCACTGAGTCCTGGGACTAGGGCAGCGACATTTGCTCTGTAGAACCCTCTATGGGGGAACTCAATGCCTTTAACTTGAAGAAATTGAAGTAAGCATCTTGGTTAGCATTATAGACAAGACAACTGTGCTTGAGAAACATTCCACATTTCACTTTGGGAACAGAAATTCATTTTCTTTCCCCTTGTGTTATTAGGAAGAGGTGAGTTGGTCATTTCTCCTTGTGCTTTGGAACTAAATCTTTACAGCTTGAGTCACTCTAAGGGAAAAGGTTCTCCCACATAAATGGGACAGGTCTGGGGTCTTCCCACCAAAACACATGATATGCAGCAAGCGCAAGAACAGGGGTGCCTGCCCTAGAAAAGCACCATGTCACCTTTTCTTGCTCCTTTTAGCAACAGAAGGAGGCGGTGGTTTATATCCCTGCATCCTATCTCACTTGCCACCACCTTACTTAAAAAATCCAGGAAGGCTCCACTGGTGGAGACAGCTGCCTAGCTGCTGGGATTTGGAGTTCCTTCATTATTCCTTGGCTACATCCTGATTGCAATAATTAAAAAAAAAAAAAAAATCTCTTTTCTCTGTCTTTCTCTATTATATATATATTTATATAGATAGATATAGATATATACACATATATATATACACACATACACACGCATATACAATTATATATATATGTATATATATATATTTAAAATCATATATATAATCTTTTCTGTCTGCTTTGCCTATTGCTGGCAGTGTGAGCTGACTTTGAGCAGTCTCTTCTGAGGTACCAGGAGGAAAAGCCCACGTGAGCTTCTGTACACGGCCGCCCTCTTAGCACTGGTACTGAATGTGCTGGTGCTGGTGGACTTTGCCTTCCACGTGTGAGTGGGTGTGGGTGTGGATGTCCGTGTAAATCTTTGGGTACATTTTGGATGCCATGGCTGGAGCAAGCGCAGGCCCTTGGGACAGTAAATGCTGCTGCTGGGCGACGTATTCCTCATAGTTTATGGAGGAGATGCAGTCTTTGTCTGGGACTTGGGAAACACAGATCCTGTCCCGGGGCTGCGGCCGGTGCACAGGGGCAGCAGCTGGTGGGGAGCAAGGTTTCTTCTTGGTCTGGCAAAGCCACAGGAGGATTGTCCCAAAGATGAAGACCGCTCCAGCGGGGATACCGATGATCACAGGCCAGGGAAGGCTGCTGGCTGAGGAGGGGGGCACAGGTGCACTCGGAGGCTTGGGATCTGGATGGATATGGTGGCAGGGAAGAGACAGAAAGAGTTAATTAAAAGCAGGCAAGGTAAATTTGAAACAGATGTCACACTTGAGCTGGCTTTTGTACAGGCTGTATGGCAACCCTGCCAGACTAAGTAACGAGGGAGAAATCAAGCCAGCACATTGTGCTTGGTAACTGCTGTGCTTTTCAGTGCTCCTGGAAGGACAAGCAACTAATTTTCTTTGGTGTAGGGAGAGGTCTTTGGGGATTTTTTTACTTATCCAAGCCTTAATGAATGTACATGTACTAGAGCCAGCCAAAGAGTCTCCTAACACCTTCACTCTGTGATGGCATGGGCTTCTCTGTCCAGATGGAAGCACACAACACATGGCATGCCAGTACTATCTCCATGTCAGCAGCACAGTTGGATCACATAGAGCCACAACATGCTGTATGCTTGCCTTTACTGAGCGTATCTATGTCTGAACAGCTTTAGACATACTTTTGAGATACTGGAGCTACTAAACTGTGCTCTGCCAGGGCAGGAAGCAAGAATTTGGTGTTCTGGAGGGGTTGTCTTGAGTTTCTTGTGTAGCTGAGAGAAAGGTTAAAAGTCACAGGTGAGCTGATGTCTCCTTGGTGCCCAAGCAATGGGGAACTAACATTTCACATGCCCAACTCCTGATGCCAAATAGCCTCCTTCTCTACTAATTTATTTGGAGCTACTATTGGCTTTCCATGGGCAGCAAACTCATTTAAGAAAGGCAATAAAGCAATAAGAAAGGCTCCAGACAGCATCTTTCACAGCTGCCTTCCCCCTAACCTCTGTGCTGTTGGCAGCCTGCACCTTCCTGAGCAGTCACTCTGGTTTCACAGCCTGATCTCTCAATTTATAGACCCCAAAGGAGTACTGGGATCGGACCCCACCTATCAAAGTCCCTTCCTAGATAGCTACCAGCTGTTGTTTTCAAAAGCCCTGAAAAATACCTAGGTGCAGAGTTCAGCCTGCAGGGTGACATTCAGAAACTTAGAAAACCGCAGGCTATCCAAACAGCCCAGAATGTTATTTTCAAACATATATCACTTAACTTTCAAGCCAAACTTCTTTAAAATACCCATGTCTTTTTCTCTCCTTGACAAATAATCCTATGGCTAGTTTGAAATATTAAATATATACCATGTGGCTTCTTTGAAGTCAGGAGGACGTGTACTGCTGACCTCAATAGACAAAACTTTCATCCACTAACACTGGAAATTACAGAATAATTTTGTCTGGAGGGGACTCTGGAGGTCATCTGGTCAACCCATTGCTCAAAGCAAGACAGGATCAGGGAAATGACCGATCAGCTGACCACGAAAACAATAGTCTTTACAATGTTTGGCAGAAATCTGCTGGGCTGACTCAGAAGTGTTTTGATATTCAACCATACTATTCTTCTAAGCTGTCTGTGTCAATTGTGCTAGATTTATGAGCAAAGTTCTGTTTTTCTAACTCATGGCCTTGCAACCACATCTTTGCTTCTGAGGGCAAGCTGGGTTCTCCTCCTCTGTTATTGCCAATAACAGCAGGCCTGCGGGTGCTGGTTCTGGTATGAGGCCTCATTATAGTGCCATTCAAATCAATGGAAAGTCTCCCACTGATTTCAGCGGGAGCTGGATCAGGCTGTTGTAGTATGGAAACTTCCAGAGGCTTTGAGTTATATCCCACCCACACAGCATTAACCAGATGAGGTTTAACAAAAGCAAGTGTAGAGTCTTGCATCTGGGGTGAAATAATTGCATGCACCGGTACAGGTTGGGGGATGAGCTG